TTTCCCTATCTCCATACTAGAAATTAACATAAAAATTCCTTCTGGCTAAATTCCCAATACATTTCACAGTGAGCATTTTCTGAAGTGAAAATTAGTAGCTTCCTTGCAGTTTCCATCAGGGATGTGAAATTGTGTAGCTCACAGGGGTGGAGAACTCAAACCCCATTTATGAATTAATACATGCTGTTGAGGGTACCTCACTGTCTGCCAAGTGCCAGGGAATCTTTTCTACCAAATCCTGAGTATCTAAATAGTGTATTTTAATTTTTGCTCTCATTCTACCACTGAGAGAATACCATCTTCTATTTGCAAAAATAAATTAATATGTAACAACCAGTGCCTGTGTACGATTACATTATTTATGTCATCCTTAAGGATTGACAGCACCTGCAGTAAGTCTCTTTCCCGTCTCTCCTCTTTCTCCTCATCCTGCCCCCTACTTTTATCCCGTGAGATCTAACCAAGGGAAACCTGAAATGGGAACTATAGTCAGTGAGGTAGATGAACAGGTGGAAGAGAAAGCCTCTGTCTCTCTCTAGAGGTTCTACCCATCTGCTCCCCAAAGGAGTCTTGAATCCTTCAGTCTCAGGATCTGAGCTATTGTGCTAACATACTGGGTTTTTTTTCTTCTGTGATGTCACTGATCTCTCAGGTTTGAAAACTCTTATGACACATAAAAACAGGACCAGGAGTTGGTATAATGGCTATGTCATTGGACTCCCATGTAGTCGACCACAGTTCAAGTCCTGGGCCCAGTGACTTAAACTCATGCCAGGCACGTGTGTGTGTGTGTCCAAGATCCAGAGAGGAGAATGGAGGAGAAAGGATTGCGGCGTGGCCATCCCTCCTCTGGGGGTGATTTCTCGCTTTCTCTGTGTGTCTCTCTGTCTTTCAGGTGAGTGCATGCGCCCTATAACAAGGGGGAAAAAAAGAAAGAAAAAGAAAACTCTTATGACACATAAAATATGCTTCTATGGTAATGTACAACACAGGCTCCTGAGGGGAAAAAAAATCTAGTTATAATAGTTTAGAACATAGGCTTTGGAATGAGGTCTGAATTTGAATCCTAGGTTTTCTACTTAGGAACCTTTGTAGACTTCAGGCAAAATAATGAACATCTCTGTGCCTTAATTTGGGAAGAGAAAATCTATCTCATGAAGTGGGAAAAGGCTGAGGAGAATATTTTATATGTACTCAATAAAAATGCTACCACTTAGAAATTATTTTTCCTTTTCATTTATAGCTTCGAACATTTGTCAAACTGTTGCTTGCTTCTGAGAAAATACAAAAATAAAATAGATGTACAAAACAGAAGAAAAGGCAGTCATGTATGAGGGGAGACTTCAAAAAGTTGGTAGAAAATGAAACTAACATTTGAGTTCTTTTATTTAAATTGGTCAGATGGTGCATAGGCCATCAGATGACTGGGTAGGGGAAAGTAAGAAAATATTCCCCATAGCGATAGCCATGCTGAAATCCCTTCTCCTCCATTTCTCCCTCCTGTTGGGATTTCGGGTACACATGCACTTGCTTCTAGTGTTTTTTTTTCAAGCTGCCAGGTCTGGAATTTAAACCGTACAGTTGATCATGTGGGATCCAGTGGTCTTAACCACCATGCCACCACACTCTGGTTGGTTCAATATGAGTTAATTTTGTTACAAAATTTTGAAATCCATGCATGTTTTTTCATATACGTATTTTCCACGAACTTTTTGAAGACCCCCCACACACACACACACACGCACGAGTAAAAGTGCGGCACAGAGGAAGAGTGTAAAACGGAGGTATGTCCAGGCCTGGGAGATGGGTGCCCAGAGACCCGTCATTAGCACATTTGAGAATGTCAAAAAGGCAGTGCTCAAGCTAAGCACTGAAGAGCAAATAGAAGCTTCCACCAGTGTCCTTTAGAAGGATAATGCGAAAGTTTGGCTTCAGTAGTTTAAGGAAAAGGAGTTGGGAAAAGAGGTCGCAGTAAGGCTGGTGAGGGATGCTAGGACCAGCTGATGAAAGGCCTTGAATGCCACACTCGGAGATTAGACTCCATCATGTTCAGTGGGCCTTTAACATGTGTCCAAAAGCAGAATATTAACCAGGGGATGCGTGGAAGAGCCAGAGCGGAGATCCAGAGACAGCTCGCTCATCCCTGATGTGTCCAAACCTTCACTACAGGGCAGACCCTGGGGCCAGAGATTAAGTCACCACTAACAGCGCAAGAACCAAATTAGGAACAAGTCATCTGAATCCAGTGCCTGCACTTCCTCCACAGCGTAAACCAAGGCCCTTCCACCTAACCCCTGCTAGTACCTCGTGCTCCCCTTCCAGTGTGCTTCACTGAGCAACTGCATCTCTCACTAAAGTGCAGGAGCTGTCAGATGAAGTGGGGACAGCAAAGATGCACAAATGAGCCGATTGTAATGCGCTGCATACCCAAAAAGGAATTCAACACCCAAAACAGACAGGGGAAGGAGATTTCCTTCTTTCCCTGGAACTGGCAAAGTAGGGTCTGTTTTATGATAGAAACGTGCGCAACCCGAGTGAGTATCTGCTTCTTGCTTGTATGATCCTCATCCACCACTCAGTCCTCCCTCTCCAGGGCCTAGCAGGAAGCACACCAGCCAAGACGGGTGTGTGCGTGCGTGTATTTGTGTTTTCAGATTACAGGTGCCTGGGGAACCCGCGCCCCAGAGCAACAGAGCAGACTGCCTGGGTCTCCTCCCACTTCGGGGCCCAGAAAAGAGGGTATAAGCTGGCTTCATTTCCCGCTTGCCCAGGCTCGGTTCCAGCCGCGTCTCGGCTGCTCCAGATCCTCGGCGCTCGCCTTCCCTCCTCCCTTAGCAACCCAGAGTCTGTGGATACCGCCAGCAGGTGGGGCCCGGGGAGCCTGCGGGTCCCCCGGGCGCCCAGGGACGGG